GATAGTGAATAAGTGTCATGAGATCTGATGGTTTTATAAAGGGGACTTTCCCCTAGACAAGCTCTTCTGCCTGCTGCCATGTAAGATGTTACTTTTCTCCTCATTAGCCTTCTGCCATGATTGTGAGGCCTCCCCAGCCATATGGAATCCATTAGCCTCCTTCCTTTATAAATTACCTGGTTTTCAGTATGTCTTTATTAGCAGAGTGAGAACAGACTAATACAATGGGGTATTAGCTCATCAGAATAAGGACGTCAAAGTTGGGCATGGCGGCTCACGCTTGTAATCCCAGCATTTTGGGAGGCTGAGGCGAGTGGATCACTTGAGTTCAGGAGTTCAAGACCAGCCTGGCCAACATCATGAAACCTCATCTCTATTAAAAATGCAAAAAATTAGCTGGGCATGGTGGTACACTCTTGTAATCCCAGTTACTCAGGAGATGGAGGCACGAGAGTTGTTTGAACCCTGGAGGTGGAGGTTGCAGTGAGCCAAGACCGTGCCACTGCACTCCAGCCTGGGTGACACAGCGAGATTCCATCTCAGGGGGAAAAAAAAATGTATGTATGTGTATATATATATATACATATATATATACACACATATATATATAGAAGTCAAGAAAAGAGAGGTCAGGTTACCAGAAGGAATTACTCGGAATGTTTATGTATACAGTAAAAACATCAAGTATTCTGTGATGACAATGAGAAAAAAAGTTCTCTTCTCTAAGGAATAAGAAGTTACCTAGAGGTGTACAGATAATTGCCATAAGGAGATGTAGTAGGTAAAAGAATTTGAGGATATGAGCTGTAAAGAAATTGAACATATTTAAGAATAGGAAAGACATATGTTCTAGAAAAGGCAATAAGATAAAAACAAAACAGCATGGCACCTCCAGGTCTAGTGGGGCATAGGGTGTGTAAGAAGAAACAGCCACTCATTTAGAGGGCTGCCGGAAGAGCAATGTCCCCAGGTGACAACTGAGTTCCAGTAGGAAAAGAAGAGAAAGGGAATAATTACAAAGAGAGATATGGGGAATATTGTGAGTAACTGATTATGAATTCCATAGGGCAGGGTGAGGGGGCTTGAGCAACTGGGAAAACTTAAGAGCATAAGTAAGGTTGGGGAACTTACATACGGTGTGAGAGTCCAGACAAAAATGCTTTGGGGTCTAGAGTAAAGAGGTAAACACTATGGTTGGATTATTGTCCCAATTGTCTCTATTATGGGCGGAATTATGTCTCCCTATGATTCGTAGGTTGATGCCCTAGCCTCCCTTGCCTCAGAGTGACCGCACTGCAGACAGGGCCTTTAAAGAAGACATTTGGGTTGGCCCTAATCTAATCTGCAAACCAAGAAGAGTGATTTCAGAAGAAACCAAACCCTCTGACACCTTGACCTTGGACTTCTAGCCTCCAGACTGTGAAAAAATACATTTCTGTTGTTTAAGCCATTCAATCTGTGGTATTTTGTTATGACAACCCTAGAAAATTAATACAGTCTTCTTGGGGAAGGAGAATAACAGTTCTAATTATATCCTCCTTTTTGGAACTGCTCTCCTAGGTAGATTATGCTGATGAGCTAGGAAGCACTGGGTGCCAAGGACATAGACAATTTTTTCCAAAAGTGTAGGGTAGTGTAGTTCCGTGGATCCCCTTTCCTGTTTTGCCAAGGTCTAGCGTAATTTATTCATTTGCCTATATTGTTTTCAACTTACCTTTAATTTGTGATTCTTGTTGATAATACAATTGGATAACTATATTCATTTATTTATTTATCAACATACATTTATTGAGTGCTTATTATATGCCAAGCACCATTCTAGAGACAGGGATAGTAGGGAGTGAAACAGATAAACCCCTGCCCTCATGGAGCTTACCTTTTAGTAGCTCTAACTTGGGGTTGCCTTTGTGGAATTTGATAGTTTTCAAACTGGAGTTTTTATTCCTCATGACCAATGCCTCCCTACTCCAATCCACGTATTTTACTGTTACCAAATTTGCTGTATAAAAGTAGAAAATGTATGATGTAACTCTCCATCTAAAAAAAATCAATTAACAGCTTCATATTGCCTTACAAATCAAATCTTTATTTCTCACTATGGCGTTCAAGTTGATTTGATGCTGAATTACTTGTTTGGGATCTGCCCCAAATTAGGGATCTGTATCCTTTCTGAGAAGTCTTATGTTTTCTTTTTTGTTGCAAAATGGACATTTCAGGACAACAAAATGTAGGCTTGTTATAGAAATTTGCCCTATGTTCATTCTCCATACAATAAATACTCAAAAGATCCTGGCTATTCCCTATGCTACTTTCAGTCCTTTGCTAGAAGTTGCCTCCCCTGTAATGCTGAGTTCTAATTGTTTGCTCTGGTTGTGGACCTATACAGAACACGTGTGGAGTTGGTGAAGGAAAGCACAACTCTGTGATGGATTTCCAGGCCATCTGCTCTAGCACCCGAAAGGGGCTCCTGGTTCTTTTTCATTACTTTTTCTATTGAAAGCAGCTGATTCCCTAAACAATCGTTGTAGCTATTACATGTGTTTTCATTTTTTCTCTAGGCCAGAAATGTGGATATTTTTAAGGAAAAGAAAGCAGTGACCTTTTGGCATATTTTACTGTAATAGAGTCTGCGTAGGAAACAGAAGGTGCACTAAAAATGATTTAACTGAAAAGAATGTAATGAAGAGACTTTTTGCAGAGATACTAACTGGGTTAAGAGAACGAGGGAGGCTGGGTGCAGTGGCTCATGCCTGTAATCCCAGCACTTTGGGAGGCCGAGATTGGTGGATCACTTGAGGCCAGGAGTTCGAGACCAGCCTGGTCAACATGGCAAAACCGTGTATCTACTAAAAATACAAAAAATTAGTTGGGCGTGGTGGTGTATGCCTGTAATCCCAGCTACTGGGGAGGCTGGGGCACAAAAATCGCTTGAACCTGGGAGGCAGAAGTTGCAATAAGCCAAGATCCTGTTGCTGTACTCTTGCCTGGGGAACAGAATAAGACTTTGTCCAAAAAAAAAAAAAAAAAAAAAAAAAAAAAGAAAAAGAAAAAAAGGAACCAGGGGACAGCATTATACTCTAGGCTGAAGGGGAACTGGAAAGAAATCATATTATTAGAGACCCATGAGAGCTGAAGCCATAGAAAAGAGGCTCCAGACAGGCCTCGCAGTCATAGAGGGACAGGATTGTGGCCAAAAATGTGGCTTAAAAAAAAGAAGAACAGTCTGATTTTTCTCTCCTCCCTTCTTTTGATTTTCTGCCAGCACTTCCCATTGGTCAATTCCAACAGGAAGCCACAGGTCAAGGGGGCCTAGTGATTGATCTACAGGTGTCAGCATTCAAGGGCATGGCTTGGGAGAGAAGTAAAAACAACAGATTTTGGGAGGGAAACCAAAAATACTGCCATTATAAATATTCTCTATGACCACAGGAAGTTAAAAAAAAATACTAGATTGCAGGACAATTACAAGTAAAAAATCTCCATAAACGTACCTTTCTAATACCACTACCGTCTTATTCCCATATTTAACTTACTGAGTGTTATCTCTGCCTAGCCCTGGGGTGGGTAAACTTTTTCTGTAAAGCATATTTTAGACTTTGAGGCTTAAGAGGCAAGGTTGAAAATATGATGTCCTATTTATATAATGATTTAAAATGTAATTATTTGAACACATAAAAAGCAGTCATTCAAATTCAGTGGGCTGGATTGGCCTGTGGGCTATACTTTGCTACCCTCTGGCCTTGAAAGTCTTCTAAATTTTTGCTAGCCTAAAATCCAACTAGTTTTCAATGTCAGGTTCAAATAAAACCTTCCTGGCCAGGCACGGTGGCTCATACCTGTAATACTAATGCTTTGGGAGGCCGAGGCAGGCGAATCATGACGCTGAGAGATCGAGACTATCCTGGCCAACATGGTGAAACCTTCTCTCTACTAAAAATACAAAAATTAGCTGGGAGTGGTGGTGCACGCCTGTAGTCCCAGCTCCTCGGGAGGCTGAGGCAGGAGAAATCGCTTGAACCAGGGAAGCAGAAGTTGCAGGGAGGCGAGATCCAGCCAGAGTAAGACTCTGTTTTTTTTTAAAAAAACAAAAAACCAAAAAACAAAAAAACACAAATCTCCCCTATGTGGCCTCTACTGGGACGCTGAATTGAGACTGACAGAAAATCAACTATTACTAACTTAAGCAAAACAGGATGAGTTGAGAGTTTGCTGGTTGTAGATCCCAGAACCCAGGAGCTGCGGAAATGCCAGCTGTTCTGGGGATATCCTGCTTTGCTATTGTGGTAACATCAGAACATGACCTCTTCATCTCCCTTTCTCTTCTCTTTGCTTGTCTTCAGTTTGGTTTCATCATCTACTAGAGGCAGATCTTTTCTTTTCCACAGGAAATAGAATGTGTATCTCCTTATGTACTAAGCCCAGGAAAGTATTTTGTTTAACCTGTCTGGGTCACCCAGCCACCCTCTGATGAACCCGTGTCGGTGGAGCAAAGGGCAGTATACTGATGTGGCAGTATTGAGGTTCAGACATGGCACACGTTGGGAGAAGCTCACCTCTGAAGAGAGGGGAAATAGGCTATTTCCCAACAGGAGGGTGCATTCTGTTGCCAGGAGATGAGACAGGAGACGTTGTCTGTTTGAGAGAGGTAGAAATGTTACAGTTATAGTCCAATGTGTGCAGCGCTGTAACAGAGATAAGTCTGACGCCTCTTTATCACCCCCAGTAACTAACATCACGCTTGCTAGACACATTCATGCGATTTTGATGAATGAATGACTCAGTTCTCCCAGCTGATTGTGAACACACTCTACTCCCAACTGGCCCGGAATTTTATCAGCTGCTCTTTGCAGGTTGTATTCGGGGTTTATGGCCATCTATGATCTGTCCTCTAATTTCTGGTGCAACAAGAGTGTATGAGACAGAGGCAGTCGTGCAGTGAACACCCTGTGTAAATCTCCATCCCAGAACCAGACCACATAATGCTGACAACACCAATCACTGGAACGGTTATGTTTTGGGTGACCGGCGTGGCCCCTTTGTTGAGGCCTCTAGGACACAAAGCCCTCACCTAAAGACTCGACCCCCCCCTCGGGAGGGAGGCAGGGCCCGGGGGCGGGAGCACAGCGGGGCCCCAGCCTCAGGCGCGTCACTGAGCACAAAGGAGACAGCAGGGAGGCGGCGGCGGGCGCTGATCCTCGCTCGCCAGCCACTCGCGATTGCGGTTACAGACCTGCAGCGCCCCCTCCCCCGCCCGCCGGCCTTTCTGTCTCCTCTCTCCCTCCGTACTGGACGGTCCCGCTGCATTTCCGGGCTCCGGATATTTGGTGTCGATTGGGGCTGGGGGCGCGGAGCAGGTGGCCGCGGCGGGGCGGCGGCGCCGCCAGCCGGGTGCGTCGGGGTCCGTGTCCCGCTGCTTTGGTCACCAGCCCCCGCCCGCCCGCGCGCCCCGCTCCGTTCTCCGGCCTGCGAGCGCTTCCCGCCGGACTTTGCGCCGCGTCGGGCGCTACTGCTGCGCTCGGGGCCCCGCTCGGCGCCGGCGTGAAAGGCGCGACCGGGACCCCGGCCCAATATGGCTGAAGTCAGCATCGACCAGTCGAAGCTGCCTGGAGTCAAGGAAGGTGAGGGCCGCGGAGGGAGGGAGGGCGCGCGGGACCCTCCCCTCTTCCTGCCGGAGGTTCTCTCGGGGCAGGGGCGTTGCCGTGTCGGCTCCCGCGGCCGTAGCGCGGCGTCTGCCTTGCGTTGGCCTTGCCTGGACGTGAGGGGACCTGAATTCAGGTTCTAGCGTGGGACCTTGGGCAAGTCACTGGCGTTTCGAGCGTTTTTTTCCTCCGGTAAGGGGGTTGGGGGAGGCCAACACCCCCCCAGCAAGTGGTTGTGCTCATGTTCTCGTGCAGGGCACGGCCCTCAGTGAGCGCTGAAGAGCTGGGTCAGGCTGACAACTGTGCTTAGAAATCGAGGCCCGGCCTGGCTGGCTGGAAGGCTGGGAAGTGGGGAGGGGTTGACGTTTAGTTCCGTGTGGAGCCTTTGTTTTGAAACCTGACTCTGCTTCCTTCTCTCCCTACTTTTCCTAGGCCCGCGGCTGGCTGGCTGGCTGGCTGACTTTCCCACCTCCCTCACAGTTTAAAAGTTTAGTCTTGGCTGTGCTCTGCGCGGGCGGGAAGCCACTATAAGCATTTTCTTAAAAAAAAAAAAAAAAAGTGAGCGAGGGAGCGGGGGACTGATGACCTTGTCATTGCTCTTTATACCAATGTCCAGGAAAATAGAGATTGATTAGTACTGACCTGGCTGTAGCTGACATCAAGTAGCGTTTTGACTTCCCTTCCCTGTTCTTCCCGAGGTGCCTCAGGACCTAGCGTTTTTTTTTTCTTTTTTTCCTTCCCTGAGATCTTAGGTGCTGGATCGCCTTATGCCTTGAGTTATCTTTGTTTATTCTTAGGTCCTAGGAAGAATAGAAGTTCCAGAGTGCTACTGCAGGCTCATAAGTTCCAAGGGCTTGCAAAGTCGGCTTTTCTTGTGGATGTCATTTATTTCAACTAAATACTGTAACCTGAGGTGTGTTGTAGATGTGGAATTGAAAATAATTTTTGCTTTCTTGGAACCGCTTTTTTTTTTTTTTGCCACCTTAATCGACTCAGTTTTGTGGGTGCTCAGGCCAGCCCAGAAATCTCAAGAAAATTAGGGACTGTTTGGTTGCTTTCCCAGAGTTTCAAGCACTAGGAGATTAGTGACTAGTGGGCACTGATTTCATGTAGAATTTCTAATGGGCTTAGTTCTGTCTTATTGTTCCAGAAGGGTGTTAAAGCTTAGTCGTAGGATCTTAGCGTTAGTATTTTTCTGCCTTTCTGTTCCTGGTATGGCTTTGATGAACACTTAGGGCTTTCACCTGTAGAGAAGTTTTCACTCTGCTGTCAAGACTAAAGAGCCTGAGTGATAGGAAAGGCAGATCAATATTTTGAAAGTTCTCGTTTTAGAGATTGTCTGGTTATCCTTTACTTTTGGATATGAGGGTTTTTTGTGTGCATATGTGTTGGTTTTGTCTCTAGAGAAAGAGTGATCCTTGTGCATTGTGTAGTGGCACTTTGAGGGTGCATGGTGAATAGAATGAGAGTTGGAGTTCACATAAAACCTGGCATGTATAGTATTGATCATATACTGCTTGTGGTTTTATCCAGTCCCCTATTCATGCGAATGACCTGGAAAAAACATAAAACTCTTTATGTACATTTATATTACCCTTAGATCTTCTGATTTCTTACCAAGACATGAATGACTTGCTCTAACATACTATTTCTCAAGGAGTTCCACAAACACCTTCCATCTAAAAATGGAAAAATTTTTCCATTTCCACACTCTAGAGTCTAATACATTTAAATTAGCTTTCATTTTGCATAATATGGTGTCTGGCGATGTCTTTTATGTAATCTGGTAAATTGATGAGGAAATTCGGTGTGGCTCTTTCATTAAGTTAGAATTAACTATTTATTAACTTTGAAGGTGGTCAGGAATTGATGAGAAGATCACTGTCTGTAAACAGCTGACTTTTCTGGTTCCAAGATTATCAAAGGAAATGATGTATTATGCTCGGAATGTCCTACTAATCGTGGTGAAGTTTTTGATCTGGGAAGTATTCAAGTCTAATAAAGTATCTTTCCCTAATATAACTCTTAATTATGGCCCAGTTACTCCCTAACAGTGTTTTTATCCTAATTAAAGAGAAAGAAGCTGGTGCCCCTGATAGGGCAAAACATGCGCAAACATTGAGACTGTGGTAATACTGAAACTCCAACTTTATGTGAGAAGGGTTAGTAGTAGTAATTAGTTTAATATTCTGATGCAGATTTTTGAATCACATTCAAAAAAATCCCTGTGTCTGTTTACTTCTCTTTTTAATTTAAACCTTTGGTAGATTTATGTACAATTACAATTTATATTCAACTTGGTATCATGGGGTAGATTCCAATAGAGATTAAGAATAATAGTGTAGTGAATGTGTGAGCCTTTCCACTGCTGTTTCTTTAGGAGGGGATGGGGCACCCTGGGACCTTTTGTCATCAACGTTTCAGTAGAGGTCATGGGTAGCAGCTGACATTAGAGTTAAGGGGATATTTAAAAACCCTTTTTTCTAGGTTGAAATCTAATTCTTGCTTACTTAGTTTTTAAGGAATTCAAAAATATTCATCATTTGGACAGACCTTTTGAAAAAGCACACATATCTATGGTAGTATTTATACTTTGGTAAATCTCTTAAACTGGGAGACAAAGTGAAATGATTGAGTTCAAATGTAGGTGAAAAGAATTAAGTCAACTAAGTGTCAACACATCATTTTTTTCTGGTTAAAAGGGTGTTTGGAACATCTACCTACTTTTTGTAATGGAAAACACTGTTGCCAATATTTAGGAATAATACTCTGTTTCTTCTGAAACATTTGAGGTTCTAGATTTGAAATAATTTCCAGCCATTTTAAACTAAAGTAGATCTATGACTGAAATGCAAAATACAATTTGTGAATATTAGGCAAAGGAATAGGCATGTTTCAGTAATATTCTGAAAGTTTATTTGAGTTCAGATCTGAAAACATTTTCTAAAAATGAACACTTTAAATAAGTTGACAAACTGACATATTTTGGGGTCAATTTTAGCTTCTTGATTGAATTTTTCTTTTCGGAACCAGCAGTCACGATGCCCTACTTTCCTTTTGCTCTCCAAGTTTCTGTATTGCTGATTAATTTGTATTGTCCGCTTACTGTAATTCTGCCATTTACCCCTCTCTAACCAAGGTGTTTATCAAAGCCTTTCTAAACCTTTTGGTGTTTTATCAACTTCTTGGCAATTTCTGAAGCAGTAGAGTTTTATCACTTTTAGCTGTGAAATGCATGCTTTCAACCCCTCCTATTTTCTCCAAGTGTTAATCTTTGTTTTTCTTTCCTTACAGCAGTTCTTACAATCTTGTTTTTTATGTCCTATTCTTATATTCTTTAGGTGGAAAGTTCTGCTGTCTTAAAGTCGGTGAATTCTGGTGTAATCGTGTGCACGTATGTGCTTAACATCAGAAATCAGTTTACCTAGGAGTGACTTGCTACTGAGCGTACAAGTGCTATTCTGGGAGCAAATCCTTTTTCTTTCCTGAAAGATACAATTTAATACATTTTTAGAACTGTCTGTAAAAGAAAACATACCTAGAAAGCACTGATTTATTTTCGGTTCAGGATACTCTGGTGGCATAATGTGGTATATTACGTTAATGGCATAAATCCAGAACTTCAAGGGAAAGATACAAAACTATATCTGGTACAATCAATTAACCAGTAGTCCAAGAGATTTAAAGCTTATCACATGCACACTAGGCATCTAAACAAATGGCAATGTTCATGAGAATGTACCTATTTCTGGAGAAAGGGCAAACTCATTTTCCCTGTTTTTCAAAATTCCGTAACAGTTTTTGTTTTGGTTGCTGCTTTTTAATGAGACCCTGGCTGAATCTCTTTGAGCAAGGTGGTTTTTGTCTTAGTTATCTTGCTTTACCCTCCTTACCTGGATGAATGTCTTTTATATAGTCAGCAACTATTCAGTAAATATTTGCATTTGTGAATAAATGAATGAGTGAATGAATACGTTAATATTCTCTGTTGATTTAGGAATTTTATCTCTGGCATAATAATTTTGTATTTTTCAGAGTGTAAACTCTTAAAAGACAAAGTTAACACCTCTTAAACTATCTGTATTATTTATACCAGCATTAAATTTATAAAAACTTGGAATTTTTTTCCATTTTTTTGTAGGTGTGTCTTGTAAATAGAATTCATTCAACATAGATATGTATTACATAGAAAAATTAAAGAAAATAGTTTGTTGCTTTCTCTTCTGGCCTTGGAGATACTCATTAAGAATAGAATTTTAGTAAAAACATTTTCTAAATGCTGTTTTGTGGTTTTGATTTTTGTTTGAGTAATAAGTTTAATTTTTTTTCTAAGTGCAAAGTAGTATCACTCAATTTGGGAGCAGGAAGGAATCTTTGATATACAGACTTTAAAAAATAATAATTATCTGCTGTGTGCCACATATTGTGTTGAGGGTATTTCCACAATAAAAAAAAAATTTCCCATGGTACGTGAACATGATCTTTGCTGCAGTACAGAATGCATGGAGTTGTTGGAAGAACCCTCTGAATTCATTTGTGGACCAACAATGGCTTTCACAAAAGAGAAGAAAATAGTTTATTGCCATATGTAGACATGCAATAGTTTTTTTAATGAACAAGGGAATTTTCAAATTTATGTAACTGTTACTTGTAAAATATATGTTTTTTTAAAATAACAGGTACTTAAAGGACAACTCACACATGGGAAACCATAGTTAATTGGTGTTTTAAAAAGGGATTTCAGAGTAGAAAGCATTAAAATCTACTGTTCTAGGCCAACATCTTTATTTTTCAGATGAAAATCCAAGAGTCAGGAAGGGCAAGTGAGTTGTATTAAACCACTGAGGCTGAGTAGCTAGGAATTGGCACATTGGGGTCTACAATTAGAAAAGTTTAGAACTGTGAGTAGTTACAACTAGAGTTAGAGTTATGTACTCTATATATATCTAGAGTAGTTGTAACACAGGTTATTCTTCCCT